CTTATACAATTATGGGACTGCAAAATTTATATTCCCGAACTATTTACTGAATATATACTATATGTCATAAATTGTGGCCAGCACTGGAAATTGTTGACACCTGCGATGTAATATTTATTATTAATAATAAATGCAACTGATATTTATGAATCTTTTATCACTTATCAACACAAAACGCAAGGTTTAACTTTCAGCCATTATCTTTTTCAATCCTCACAAACCCTAACATCAGCCTCATTTTACAGATGGGCAAACAGAGGCCAGAGAAACGCCCAGATTTCCCAAGGTCCTCTAGGGATTTGAACCCAGGTCTGAGGAATTCACACCTGCTATAAATACCTCCTACATACTTAGTCTAATTCCCTCAGTTATGGTGGCTCTCCACCACTCAACAGTGGGAAGCACATAAAATGTCTGGAACACTGTGCACCGGGTTCTATTGTCAAATGTGTTTCAACTTTACTTTCTCAGAAAGGATCATTCACTTATTGGTGATTCTGTAAAGTTAATCAGTGTAGTATGCTCAGTCATTAATATTTTTAAAGATTTATTTATTTGAAAAGCTCAGTGAGATACAGGGAAAGATCTTCCGTCTGCTGGTTCACTCCTCAAACGCCGGACAGAGCCAAGAACTCCAACTGGGTCTCCTACACAGGTGTCAAGAATCTCAGCACTTTGACCATCATCCAACATCCGCTGCCATCCCAGGTGACTTCCTGGGGAGCTGGATCGGAAGCAGAGGAGCCTGGACACAAACTGAACCCGCACTCCAATATGAGAAACCAGTGTTCCCAGCAGGGGTTTAACCCACTGCACCACAATGCCAGCCCCATGAATATCTAGCTATCTGTTACTGAAGAAATGTTAACTCTGTTAACCTGTTGAAGAAATTTTATCGCTGCAAAACAACGTTAAACCATCTCATGTCAGAATATCCTATCTACCTAGGGCACAGCCTTCAAGTTAAAAAAAAAATGACTCCCCATATTTCACTTTATTCAAAATGCAAACGGAGTGATTCAAAAAGGAATTCCACTTCTAAACCTCAGATTATATACGTGGGCTTCCCAGAAGCTACCATCACTGTCATTTCTTCTTTGTGCACAGGTAAAATAGGTAAGAATGAGGAGTCTTATTACAAAAAAAAAAAAAATCTTACAAGAAATCTTTCACCTCACTAGTAGAAAACAAATCGAAAACTTGCTAAAAACCAAAATATGAGCCCTTATCAGCTCAATCCAAACAATCTCGAAATATTTTTCTAGCATCAATTTAACATGTTATTTTACAATTAAAAAAAAAAACTAGGCACATTAAGAACCACAGAGCAAATGAAAAAGCTACAATGAGTTGCTGACATGCAACTGGGGTTTGAATATCCCAATCAGCACCACTGCATTCTTATTTGAACAATTTATCACAGAAGTTGCTGTCCTAACAAGTTAAATAATTTGGGGTGGGGGGGCAGAGGAAGGACAAGTATCAGGCATGCTGATCAATAAAAACAAGCAACAAGGGAGAGACAACACTGTAACACATCCAAAAACGCCTGCCAAACACTCTTGCTAGTTGTTTCCACCAAGTTATTGTTTTGGAAAACATGTTGTTCTCTCTTAAAATAACCCGCTTAACAGTTCTAAAAAGCCACTGCATTTCCACTGAGGTCTAAATCGCCCCCATACTGCGATACATTGACTGATAAAATCAACGTTACGTTATGCAGGAAGCCACAAAAGAAAGTTGGGGATGTTCCAATCCTGCCGAGATAAAAGGGCCCTAAACTACTGAATGAATCGGCAGCGCCGGCCCTAGTAACACTCTCGCGGGGTCCTCTACACCCATCTCAAGAATGACACCCACGCATACTACCTCTTCTCCCGCCCTTGGACGTGGGACATGAGCCACCCTGGTAGCCTCGCTTACTACTAATTAAGATTTTTAAGGAAGGTCAAAACGACCTTGGACGTGTCGGTGTTCGCTCCAATCCTCGCATTACAAATGAGACTGTGTGTCCAGTACGGTTCAAGTTTTCCTGCCTGGGAAAGTCCCAGAGAAACTAAAGAGTTAAGGAGGGGGAAATCCCAAATTGTGAAAGACAGACTCAGACACCCAGAGCACAGGCAGATTTTTCAGAACTGAATGGAACTCCAGCCGTGTTTTATAAGCCTGTCGGAGGAGGAACACGCACTGCCCCGACTCTGCCGGCGCTCGGGCCCCTTCGGCTCCGGCGGGGGTGGGGGCGGGAGCTCGCGTCCGCAGCCTTGACATCTGCAGAGCGTTTCCCACTGGCGAGACAAGGCCCCTCAGCTGGAGGAAGCGGGGACTGACAAGGGAGAGAGCGAAGCAGACAGGCACGCACAGGCGAGGATCCCGGGCTGCCAGGGAGCGGGGAGAGGCTCGCGGACTCCGGGCGGTCCGGTGTGTGCGGAAGGCACTGCCCGAGTGTCCCGACCAAGCGGGCATCTCCAGAGTACAAGGCAACTTGGGCGCACCGGTACCAACTCGGCCTGCGGCTTTTCTGAAGCCGGCCAAGTCAGCACAGGAGCCTCCGGCCCCTGGAGACCCGAGCGGCGTGGAAGGGTGGGGAGCCCCGCGAGGTCTCCGTTCCTGCGTGCGGGGAGGTCCGGGAAGGAGCCGGAGCCCGAGGGTGCGGGGGATGCCTACCTTGTAACATGGCCTCAAGTTTCTTCCTGTCCACGCGGAAGCGCTCCTCGCTCCACTCGGGGCTGTGCAGGGGCGCGCCGGCGACCAGGTCGTCCTCGGAGCCGGGCATGGGCGAATCGGTGCTGCGCTCACTGTTGGAGCCCGGGTCCGACTGCGCCGCCAGGTAGCCGGGCTCGCCCTGGGCGGCCATGGTGGGCGCGCGGCGCTCGGACTCCGGCTGCTGCTGCCGCTGCTGCTGCCGCCGCTGCTGCCGCCGCCGCCGACGACGACGATGAGCTGCTTTCGCCGCCGCCTCCGCTGGCCCGCCGGGCTCGACTGGCTCCGCGCGCCGCGGCGCTACCTCGTCCTCCCGCAGCCGCCGCGACCGCCGCCGCCACGGAGGCCCCGGCGCATCCCAGCCACGGGCGCCGCCCACGCCGCCCGCCGCCCCGGGTCGCGGCCCGGGTCCTGGGCCAGTGGCTGCACCGCCCCCCGCCAGCAACGCCCGCGCGCAGTGAGCGCGCCGCGCCGCCCCGGCCTCCATCCGCAGGGCTCCGGCGCCCCCTCCCCGCCCGCCGCCCCTGCAGCCGCGCGCTCATTGGCCGGGGCGGCCCACGGGGAGCCGCGGCGGGCGGACGCGCGGGCGGGCGGCCCCTGGCGCTCACACACTCGCGCGCACACACCACGTACACACGGCCCCCTCGGCCCCTACGCGGACACCCGGTGGCCCCCGCACCTTTGCGGGCCTCCAAATGCAGACACCGGCCAAGTTCAAGTACAGCGGGCTCCGGAGATGCTCACACAACCCCTCTTCCATGAGCTCACACACACTCCCCCTAAGACTCACAGACCCCGCTGGTCCCACGAGCGCGAACAGGGGGAGGGAGAAAAGGGGCTTGCAGAAGAAAGCAACTCCACGGTGGACAGACAGCACCACGCACATGGCTCCCGCTGTCCTCTCCTGCGCCGGTGTCCCGACCCGGAGGCCTCCTCCCTGGGCCAAGTGGCCCGCTGCGCAACGCTGGAGGGACAAGAGTCCTATTCTTTAATTCTAAGGGAAGGGGATTTTTTTTTTCCTTGAATGGTGCTCGAAAAGAGTCATTCTCTCTGTGATTCTCAAAGAATGAACCTCGCAGATTTAAAAAGCGAGCGGGAAAAAAAGAAAGACGAGAGCAAAGGCTCAGGGGCTGCCGTGGTGATCAGCTGGGTGCAGCTGGCGTCTGAGCAGGACTCAGGCTGGTCAGGCTCTGAGGGCTCTGCTCTGCCCAGAATAGGTGGTGTCAGGGACCCCTGCCCCTCGCTGCTGGGCCAGCTCACCCTCTGCCTCTCTCATCCCTGGACGTGGAGCCCTGAGAAAGAGGAGACACACTGGACTTCTACTTTTCGCAGTTCCTGGATTCATACCCTCTTTTGTTGAATGGACAAAAGGACAAGGTGTTTTTTTGCTCTTTGTGGGAAGGCGAATGGGGCCCGCAGTTTGTCACTGTTCCACTGGCCTTCGTGCAGTGCAGACCATATCGGTTGCGCGGCCAGTGGGTAATCTTGCAACATGCTGGAAGCAATTCGACATGTTCACAGGTTCCGCTCCCTCGTTGACAAGAACTGATTCTGTGCTTAGTACTGTGGGTTCTTCACAACAGAGGAAGAAACCGAGGCGGTGGGAAATTAAGTGACTTGACTGGGATCCCACAGCAGCAGCAGATGGAACCGGGAATCGAACCTAAGTCAGCGCGTCTGATACTGGATTTCTACAAAGCCCTGATCTGTTGGTAGAGAGCCCTCCTGCTTATCGCGGCGTCCTGGAGCACTGAGGGTAGAGGCGCAATTTCGCTGCTCTGATTCATCACCAAGGTTCTTCCTCTGAACTTGGGAACTGTTACTATGATGGTTAGAATTAGTGAGCAGGGCCCCATGTTCCCCAAGAGGACTTATTCTAGGAACATGCCCCACTGACTTGCATCAGGGCTGCTCATCCTCTTTCTCTATAACCAAGTATTTCGTGGACCCTATTATGTATCAGGACCTTGTTAGGCCCAAAGAACAGTGAGCAAAGATGGACACGATGCCTGTGCTCCTGGAGCCAACTATCTAGTGAGAAAGACAGGAAACTGACCAAAAATAAATACATTACACAAATATACAATTGTGCCTTAGTAAGCCTTATAAATAGGTATTAGTTAAGAGACAAGCAAACATACAATGTAGTCACTGGGTTCTCTAGGGGAAATCAGTGTAGGTGTCTTTCTTTTAAAAAGTGACTCTAGGGGCTGTGGCGCAGTGGGTTAATCCTCTGCCTGCAGTGCTGGCATCCCATATGGGCACTGGTTCTAGTCCCAACTGCTCCTCTTCCAATCCAGCTCTCTGCTATGGCCTGGGAAAGCAGTAGAAGATGGCCCAAGTCCTTAGGCCCCTGCACCCACGTGGGAGACCTGGAAGAAGCTCCTGGCTCTTGGCTTTGGATCAGCGCAGCTCCAGCCATTGCAGCCATCTGGTAAGTGAACCAACAGACAGAAGACCTTTCTCTCTGTCTCTCCCTCTCACTGTCTATAACTCTACCTCTCAAATAAATAAATAAATAAATAAATAAATTTTTTTTTAAAAAAGTGACTCTGGAACGCATAACACAAGTTTGAGAAGAAATGAGGCAAGAAAGGGAAAGAAGAGTCGTTCCTGAAAATGATCATTGATCACAATAACATCTCTGAAGATAGATACTACAATTATCCATTTATTTATTTTATTTATTTTTATTTTATTTGAAAGGCAGGGAGGATAAGCACTTCCATCCACTGGATCTCTCTCCATATGCCTGCAGGAGCCAGGGCTAAGGTAGGCCAAAGTCAGGAACCGTGCTCCCATGTGGGTGGCAGGGACCCAACTATTTGACTCATCATCTGCTCCTCCCAGGATGCGCATTAGCAGGAAGTTAGATCAGAAGCAGAGGAACCAGGACTCAAAGCAGGCATCACAAGCCATGTCTAAACTGCTGCACCAAACGTGCAGCCTTCTTCATTCTATAGTTGGAAAAGGGAAAACAAATATTGTCCAACAACTTGTAGAATCAGAATTTGAAACCAAGCAAATCTCCCTTGAAAATTAGACTTCAGTAAGCCAGTCCCAAAGGGACAAATACCATATGTTCTCCCTGATCGGTGACAACTGACTCAACACCAAAAAGGAAACCTCCTGAAGTGAAATGGACACTATGAGAAATGGTGACTTGATCAGCATAGCCCTGACTGCTAATGGACAACTTAATACATTATCCCTCATAGTATTTTTTTTTGTCTGTTCTACTCAATATGACTGGTTTAATTCTGTAATTATCACACAGTTATTCTTAAGTGTTGAAAATTAACTGAAATGTGATCCCTGTTAAACATAAGAGTGGGAATAAGAGAGGGAAGAGATGTATAATTTGGGACATGCTCGGGCTGACTTGCCCCAATTGGTAGAGTTGGAAACATACCAGGGGATTCCAATTCAATCCCATCAAGGTGGCATGTGCCAATGCCATCTCACTACTCCAAGTGATCAATTTCAGTTCACAATTGATCATAATGAAAGGACTAAGAGTCAAAGGGAGCACATAAACAAGTCTAGTATCTGCTAACACTAACCGATAGAATAAATAAAGGGGAGAGTGATCCAACATGGGAAGTGAGATACTCAGCAGACTCATAGAATGGCGGATGTCCTAAATAGCACTCTGGCCTCAGAATCAGCCCTAAAGGCACTCGGATCTGGCTGAAAAGCCCATGAGAGTATTTCAGGCATGGAAAGCCAAGACACTCTGGCAAAAAGATCTCTGTGAGTGAAATCCCAGTGGAAAGAACAGGTCTTCAAAGAGGGAGGTGCCTTTCTCTGAAGGGAGGAGAGAACCTCCACTTTGACTATGACCGTGTCTAAACAAGATAAGAGTCGGAGAACTCAAGGGGCTTCCATAGCCTTGGAAACTCATAACTGGTGCATAGGGAGATTACTGATGCCATAAACAGGAGTGTCAATTGGTAAAGTCAACAACAGGAGTCACTGTGCACTTACTCCTCATGTAGGATCTCTGTCCTTAACGTGCTGTACACTGAGGCTTAATGCTATAACGAGTACTCAAACAGTATATTTCACTTTGTGTTTCTATGGGGGTGCAAACGACTGAAATCTTTACTTAATGTACACTAAACTGATCTTCTGTAAAAAAAAAAAAAAAAGAAAGAAAGAAATTATCAATTCCCAACTTGACTCTCACTGGGATTAAACATGACAATAGGTCTGATCTGATTTCATCATCATTTAAAAAAAAATCATCTATTATTTTTCACTTTATGTTTCTGTGTGGGAGCAAACTGTTGAAATACTTACTTAAGGTATACTAAGCTGATCTTCTGTATATTAAGATAATCGAAAATGAATCTTGATGTGGATGGAAGGGGAGAGGGAGTGGGAAAGGGGAGGGTTGTGGGTGGGAGGGACAGTATGGGGGGGGAAGCCATTGTAACCCATGAGTCGTACTTTGGAAATTTATATTCATTAAATAAAAGATAAAAAAAAAAAAAAAAAGAAAATTAGACTTCAGGTATTTTGCGCTTAGCCAATAAGCTGCTTTGGCTCTCGATGGCGTTAGTACAAGCAAAGACCTACGACAGCAGGAGGCAGCACACATCCCCCCACTGAAGAACCTGAAAGAAGGCCAGCGTTGCTGTTACAAGAACACAAGAAATCAGACGACATTAACCAAAACAGGAGATGTAAGAGGTAGACTATGTAAGCACAAATTAAGGAGATTTAGTCTCCATTCTTAGACCTAAAAGAAGCCACAGAGAGGTTTTAAGTAAAAGATGATGGACATAGATTTGCATTTTTTTAAAAAAATGACTGTAGATGTAGTGTAGAGATTAGATTGAGGGACAAGAATAGTAGTCAGATGAATGAAGAGACTACAGAGGAAATTTAGGTAGGAAATGTTGGAAACTTACCTATTTACTGAAGATGGAGGGAGGTGAAAGGATTTCAGAAATATTTCAATGGTGAGTAGCAACAACTGGATTGGTAGTGGATTGAATATGGGGAGATAGAAAAGAGAATGTTGAGATTTTCTCTAGGGTTCTGGTAAGCACAATTGAGAAGAGAGGTGCCCTTAACTGAAATAAGGGACCATTGCAGGAGAGATCATGAAGTCCAACTGGCCATGTTGAGTATTCATCGCCTTTGTTAAGTATGCAATTGGATATGTGGGTCTGGGGTTCAGTAAAGAGATCTTAGCTGAAGATAAAAATGTGTTATTTATTTGCTTATAGCTGATAACTCTAGCCATATGCATGAATCTCTTTTTCTAGGAAAAGAGAAGAAAGAAGAAAAGAGAAGCAAAAGAAGGCCTTTCAAAAATCCCAACATTTAGTGGTTGAGAAGAGGAGAGTGTAATATGAAACAAGATAGAAGCAGCAGTAAAAGAGGACTGTCAAAACAAAACAAGTAAGGATTTTTCACGCAAGCCTAGAAAAAAGACCCTTTCAAAAAGAAATCTATGATCATCTGTATAGAATAAGGAAGTCACTAAGACTTTAGCAAGAATGCCAGAATTGAGTGATTGAGGAGTGACTATAGCTAATAAAATGTGCAAAGATAACTCTTCGAAAGGAATTTGGCTGATGAGGAAAGGAAGAGAGAGCAATAGCTGAAGGATAAAGGCAGGAGTGGGGAGCTGGCTGTCGTTCACTGGTTGGTTGGTTCACTGCTGTGTTATATGATGGATTTCATTGTTTTCAAGGTTTGAGAATATTTTTAAATGACTGGAGGGGTGCAGTGGTTAAGATGCTTCTTGGGGCCGGCACCATAGCTCAATAGGCTAATCCTCCGCCTAGAGGCACCGGCACACCGGGTTCTAGTCCCAGTCAGGGTGCCGGATTCTGTCCCGATTGCCCCTCTTCCTGTCCAGCTCTCTGCTATGGCCTGGAAGGGCAGTGGAGGATGGCCCAAGTGCTTGGGCCCTGCACCCACGTGAGAGGCCAGGAGAAGCACCTGGCTCCTGCCTTCTGATCAGCGCAGTGTGCTGGCTGCAGCACACCAGCCGCAGCGGCCATTGGAGGATGAACCAACAGCAAAAAGGAAGACCTTTCTCTCTCTCTCTCTCACTGTCCACTCTGCCTGTTAAAAGAGAGAGAGAGAGAGAGAGAGAGAGAGAGAGAGAGAGAGATGCTTCTTGGGGCACCCATATCCCATTTCAGAGTGTCTGGTTTGAGTCCCGGCTCCTCTGCTTCCAATCCAGCTTTCCGCTAATAAAAGCCCTGAAAGGCAACAGATGATGGTTCAAGCTCTTGGGTCCCTGTCACCCACATCAGTGACCCAGAGTGAGTTCTGGCCACCTAGCTTCAGTCTGACCTGGCTCTGGCTGCTGTAGGCGTTTGGGGAATGAACTAAGAGATGGAAGATCTCTGTCTTTCTCTCTCTCACTCTCGCTCTCTCTTACCCTCTCTTTCTCTCCCTCTCTTTCAAATAAAATTCAAATCAGTAAATAAACATTAAAATTAAAATGAGCAGAAAAGATCCAGTTGAGGGACTGGCATTGTGGCATATCTTGTAAAACTGCTGCTTACACTGCCGGCATCCCACATGGGTGCCAATTCAGGTCCCAGCTGCTCCACTTCCAATCCAGCTCCCCGCTGTGGCCTGGGAAAGCAGTAGAAGATGACCCAAGTCCTTAGACCCCTGCACCCACATGGGAGACCCAGAAGAAGCTCCTGGCTCCTGGCTTCAGAATGGTGCAGCTCCAGCTGTTGCAGCCATTTGGGGAGTGAACCAGTGGATGGAAGACCTTTCTCTCTCTCTCCCTCTCTCTTCCCCTGTCTCTCTGTAACTCTGCCTTTCAAATAATTAAATAAATAAATATTTAATGAAATAAAATAGTTGTTTTGTCAAGTGTCTTTACTTCTTGTAGTCTACTCCGGTGATAGTTGTCTTTTGCCATTTCCATATTTTTGTTTTCTTCTTTTGTTAATTTTAGATGTGATTCAGATAAAATAGGAGTGGGAATATACCTGCAATATTTGTACGTTTTTCCCATGCCAGTATTTATCATGCTTCGCACAAGTTCTGTTATAGTATTTTCAAAGTGGGGCCAGCACTGTGGCATAGTGGGTAAAGCCGCTGCCTGCAGTGCCAGCATCCCATATGGGCACCGGTTCAAGTCGCGGCTGCTCCACTTCTGATCCAGCTCTCTGCTATGGCCTGGGAAAGCAGTAGAAAATGACAGAAGTCCTTGGGGCCCTGCACCTGCATGGTAAACCAGGAAGAAGCTCCTGGCTCCTGGCTTCAGATCAGATTGGCCCAGCACCAGCTGTTGCAGCCATTTGGGGAGTGAACGAGTGGATGGAAGACCTTTCGCTCTCTCTCCGCCTCTGCCTCTCTGTAACTCTGCCTTTCAAATAAAATAAATAAATCCTTTAAAAAAAAAAAAGATCCAGTTGACAGAAATTGGAACAATGTTAAATGGCTTTGAGAGAATGAACAGACTAGATCCCAAGACACAAGGAAAGGAAAACAGTTCATTAGAAGGTGAATAAGATGGGTACAAACGTGGGCTAATTTGGTTTCATTTCTAGAACAGAAGAGAATTCCCATCTGATGCCTTTTTTTCCCAAAAAAGTGAAATTCAAGGTTTTCTGCTTAGACTGTGAAGGAAGGCAAACTCACAGAGGCTTGAGTGGAGTAGAGAAGTTTTGTTATGTTTTGTGAGAAGTTTAAAAATAGACTTTTGTATCAGTAAAAGGATGAATTGGCCCTGTTGAGAGTCCAGCTGGTGTTAACAACCATACATTTATAATGGGATGACCCATGTGTCCTATAACTTTCCCCAATACAGCTGAGATCTGTGAGCACAGGCATAAGGAAAACATAGGACTTCCATCAAGTAGATGCAGCACCAGAAGCCAGAAGGCAAATGAATGATGCCTGATAAAAATAATTGCCAATGTAGACGATTACAGCCAGCAAAACTATCAACCAAGCATGAAGCTAAAACTCATTCTCAGGTGTGAGATACCGCAAAGAAATTCATTTTCCTTACACCCTAAGGTAGCTACTGAAGATTGTGTACCACCAAAATGAGATTAAGTCAACATGAAGAGAAAACATAGAATATGCAAAACAAGAGCTCTAACTCGCAGTTGAGGCAAAGGCTTTCCTCAGGGTGAAGATAAAAGAAGAAACTCCCAGGGTCAGAACTCTAAGGGTGTAAGTTTCTTCTGGACTGAACAGATAGAATTAGTGAAGAAATGAACATATTCAGAGGAGATCGAGACAGTTGGTGAAGACTTTGGGATCAGTGATTGGTTCATTGAAAATTGGCACCAAAGACAAGTGTTAACTCTATCATAAAATATTATGCAGAAAAGTCAAAGTAATAGAGTATGCAACATAGCTGAGCCATAACTAGCATTTATATAGCTACATAAAGTAAACCATGGATAAAGATGTAACCTAAGTTATAAACTGAGTAGAGATTTCAGGGACCGGGAATATGCATGCATGTAGCAGAGACTTTGGGGGAAAACAATGATGAAAAATGAAACCTCAAATGCTCTAAGGAAACATAAATAGATAATCTATAATTTTTAAAAATCAAGAAGTAGCAATATAAGCATATGATTTAGAGATATAGAAATAGAATCAGGTTGCGTCAAGCATTTAGTTTGATGATTGGGATTCCTACATCCCAAGTTAGAGACGGGGATTGAGTCCCAGCTCCCAATCTTAACTCTAGCTTCCTACTTAGGCAGATGCTGTGAGGCAAGGGTGATGGCTCAAGCCCTTGGCCGCCTGCCACCCACATAGGATTCCTGTATTGAATTCTCAGTTCCTGGCCTTGGATTAGCTGTTGCAGGGGTCTGGTGAGAGAAACAGTGAATGGAAGCCTACTCGTTCACTCTGGCTATGTGTGTGTGTGTGTGTGTATGTGTGTGTGTGCCCTTATGCCTCTCTAATTAATTAATTTAAAAAAGGAGTAGAATCAAGCTAAAGGTTTTGGAAGTGGTTGCTTATTATAGGAAATGAGAAATGGAGGCTAGACATATGGTACATCTGTTTCTTATGTGTATTATAGAATGATTTGATTCTTTCAAACATATCAGTGCACAACTTTAATTTCAGAACAAATGAAGTAGCATGTGCTTATTGTACAGTTATTGAAATGACAAACAGCAGAATCTTGAATTCATGACTCCTGAGTTCTATACTGTTTCTACAGAAATCAAACCAGAATTAAATTAATTCACAAACTTTATTTTAATACAATAAAATAATATAAAATAAAATAGTACAAAAAAATAAACTTTATTTAATACAATAAAGCTTATATGCTTTGATTTTGTCTTCCCATTTCCTTTAAGAAAATAATAATTCTTTTTTTTTTTTTTTTTTTGACAGTCAGAGTTAGACAGTGAGAAAGAGACAGAGAGAAAGGTCTTCCTTCCATTGGCTCACCCCCTAAATGGCTACCACGGTCGGTGCTGCACTGATCCAAAGCCAGGAGCCAGGTGCTTCCTCCTGGTCTCCCATGCGGATACAGGACCCAAACACTTGGGCCATCCTCCACTGCCTTCCCGGGCCACAGCAGAGAGCTGGACTGGAAGAGGAGCAACCAGGACTAGAACCCGAGGTGCCAGCACCGCAGGCAGAGGATTAGCCTAGTGAGCCATGGCGCCGGCCAGAAAATAATAATTTTCAACACACTTGGAGTATATGAGCATATCAAAGGCCAAGAAATCAATTATGTAGGGTTTTTTTTTTTTTTTAATGGAGTAGAGCACTCAAAAGAAAAAAAAATCTTTGAGGGGTGGGCATTTGGCTTAGTGATTAAGATACAACTTGGGATGCCTGCAGCCCATTTTGGAGTGCCTGGATTTGAGTTCTAGCTCCACTCCCAATTTCTGCTTCCTCCTAATGCATACCCTGAGAGGCAGCACACAATGGCCCAAGTATTTGGATCCCTACCACCCGCATGGAAGAACCTAGATTGACTTCCCAGCCCTAGGCTTCTGCCTGGCCCAGCCCTGGCTGTTACAGGCATCAGGGGAGTGAAGCAACAGACAGAAGCTATCTCTCTGTCTCTTCACTTCTCAAATTAATTAATTAATCAATTTTTAAAGCATTGGGAAAAATTTAAATAACTAAGATCACATCATATCTTCAAAGCCATAAAATATGAAAACCAATACTGATTTTTGGAAAATGACATGTAAGAATTATGTCTACTTTACAAACACACAACTAACCATGATCACTGGTAACCCAATGGAAAAGCTCGTCATGGAATGAAAATGGATGGGTACTTTTCTCTAGGCACTGTTTCCATGAAATAATTTCTCCTAAAGCAGAATACAAAAATATTGATCCTCAAGTTATGTATTTTTATAATAGATTCAGAAGTCTATATTAAAACTATTTTTCTGTTTTAATTTAAAACTTTGGCATTTTAATTATGTTTGAATAATCTCAACATATGGCCCGATATGAGTATTATTCAATTCCATCAAATGGCTTAAAGCTTTTGGCAAGCCTCCCCTGGGCGATCCCACCTCATTTTCTTCTTGCATTTCACACTCCAACAATACTGAACTATTTGTAATTCTCCATATCATCTCGCTGTCTCATCTTAAGCTCTTTGCAAAGAATGTTCCTCAGCCTGGAATATTCTAATTTTGTTCTCTTGGCCTTCACAAACACCCTGCTCCAAACTGATTTAGATTCTGTTCATCTTTTGTTTCCAGTAAATATTGGGTTTATTCCTATTAAAGCAATTGTTTTTGCATGTGTTATTTCCTTCATCGTCGTCGTCATCATCATCATCATCATCATCATCTGACAGCAGAGTTCTTGAAGGCAGGAAAGAACTCTTTTCACCATTGTGTCTATAGCACCCAACAATTGCCTGGCTTCAACTAACAAGCTTGTAATTGTAAACACAGGGGCATACGTTTAGAAATTAATTTATGATATAGCTTGGATGGTCACATAACTATAGAGTAACTAAGTTAAGCAGGAGGAAAAAAAGAAGACTTAAAACTCTAATGCTCGTTGCTAGTGTTGTGGCATATCAGGGTAAGCTGCCATCTTCAGCACCAACATCCCATATGGGCACTGGTTCAAATCCCAGCTGCTCTACTCTACTTTCCATCCAGCTCCCTGATAATGCATCTTAGGGAAGCAATGGAAGAGGCCAAAGTGCCTGGCCCCCTGCACCCATGTGGGAGACCTGGAAGATGCTCCTGGCCCCTGGTTTCATCCAGGCCCCGCCCTGGCCATTATGACCATTTGGGGAGTGAACCAGTGGATGGATGGAAGATGGATTTTTCTCTCTCTTTCTCTCTCTCTCTCTATCTCCCTCTGTGTGTGTGTGTGTGTGTGCGCGCACGCACATGTGTCCCTCTCTCTATGGAACTCTGAGTTTCAAGTAAATAAAATAAATCTAAGAAAAGCTCTAATGCTGGAAATGAAGGCAGCTGATATACAAGGAACATTCTCTTCTGAATTCACGGCTGAGGAAACAGAACTGGAAAGATGAGACAAACTGATTAGAGCTCCACATTACATGAAATGAAATTCAAATCATCAATGCCGATTCTGTATAACTATTTTATCCAGTCCCTTTACTTCACAGTTTAAGAAACTGAGACCCAAAGTCTCAAAGAAGAAATAAAATGTTGCAAATATATGCAAAAAATTAATGAAAAAGCTGATGTTCAGCACAGCGTCATCCACACTTAATGTTTTCTTTCCTCATTTAAGCTCTTAAGTGAATTTTTTGACCAAAAAACTTACATAGCCATGATGTGGCCAGAATATTTTGGAGATCCACTTGCTCTTAAGTCAATCACACAGATTTTCCCTTCAATGTCAAGTTTAAA